GTGCAGCAACATGACCAGTGGGGCCACAGATGGTGCTGCATCATGGCCAATAAGGCCACAGATGGTGCTGCAACATGACCAGCGGGGCCACAGGTGGTGCTGCAACATGATCAGCTGGACCACAGATGGTGCAGCAACATGACCAATGGGGCCACAGGTGGTGCTGCAACATGACCAGCGGGGCCACAGGTGGTGCTGCAACATGACCAGCGGGGCCACAGATGGTGCTGCAACATGACCAGCGGGGCCACAGATGGTGCTGCAACATGACCAGCGGGGCCACAGATGGTGCTTCAACATGACCAGCGGGGCCACAGATGGTGCTGCAACATGGCCAGCGGGGCCACAGGTGGTGCTTCAACATGACCAGCGGGGCCACAGATGGTGCTGTAACATGACCAGCGGGGCCACAGGTGGTGCTGCAACATGACCAGCGGGGCCACAGGTGGTGCTTCAACATGACCAGCGGGGCCACAGATGGTGCTGCAACATGGCCAGCGGGGCCACAGATGGTGCTGCAACATGGCCAGCGGGGCCACAGATGGTGCTGCAACATGGCCAGCGGGGCCATAGATGGTGCTGCATCATGACCAGCGGGGCCACAGGTGGTGCTTCAACATGACCAGCGGGGCCACAGATGGTGCTGCATCATGACCAGCGGGGCCACAGGTGGTGCTTCAACATGACCAGCGGGGCCACAGGTGGTGCTTCAACATGACCAGCGGGGCCATAGATGGTGCTGCATCATGGCCAGCGGGGCCACAGATGGTGCTGCATTATGGCCAGCGGGGCCACAGATGGTGCTGCATCATGACCAGTGGGGCCACAGGTGGTGCTGCATCATGACCAGTGGGGTCACAGGTGGTGCTTCAACATGACCAGTGGGGCCACAGGTGGTGCTGCAACATGACCAGTGGGCCAAAGATGATGCTCCAACATGACCAGTGGGGCCACAGATGGTGCTGCAACATGATCAGCTTGGCCACAGATGGTGCTGCATCATGACCAGCGGGGCCTCAGGTGGTGGTGCAACATAACCAGCGGGGCCACAGGTGGTGCTGCAACATGACCAGCGAGGCCACAGATGGTGCTCCAACTTGACCAGAGGGGCCACAGATGGTGCTGCAACATGACCAGCGGGGCCACAGGTGGTGCTGCAACATGACCAGCGGGGCCACAGATGGTGCTGCAACATGACCAGCGGGGCCACAGATGGTGCTGCAACATGACGAGCGGGGCCACAGGTGGTGCTGCAACATGACCAGTGTGGCCACAGGTGGTGCTGCAACATGACCAGCGAGGCCACAGATGGTGCTGCAACTTGACCAGAGGGGCCACAGATGGTGCTGCAACATGACCAGCGGGGCCACAGGTGGTGCTGCAACATGACCAGCGGGGCCACAGGTGGTGCTGCAACATGACCAGCGGGGCCACAGGTGGTGCTGCAACATGACCAGCGGGGCCACAGATGGTGCTGCAACATGACCAGTGGGGTCACAGGTGGTGCTGCAACATGACCAGTGGGGCCACAGGTGGTGCTGCAACATGACCAGTGGGAAACAGATGGTGCTGCAACATGACCAGTGGGCCACAGATGGTGCTGCAACATGACCAGTGGGCCACAGATGGTGCTGCAACATGACGAGTGGGGTCACAGATGGTGCTGCAACATGACCAGTGGGGTCACAGGTGGTGCTGTAACATGACCAGTGGGGCCACAGATGGTGCTGCAACATGACCAGTGGGGCCACAGATGGTGCTGCAACATAACCAGTGGGGCCACAGGTGGTACTGTAACATAACCAGTGGGGCCTCATGTGGTACTGTAACATAACCAGTGGGGCCACAGGTTGTACTGTAACATAACCAGTGGGGCCACAGGTGGTACTGTAACATAACTAGCGGGGCCACAAGTATTTAATTCAGGACAATTCTGACCAGTTTGTGACCGGCCCATACTCCAGACCATTTCCCCTGCAAATGTGAGTGATGCTAGTCCCAAGCGTCTGGCCTTAATCTTTGGATAGACACACACACACATATTCTCTCTAATGATATATATATATATATATATATATATATATATATATATATATATATATATATATATATATATATATATATATATATATATATATATATATATATATATATATATATATATATATATATATATATATATATATATATATATATATATATATATATATATATATATATATATATATATATATATATATATATATATATATATATATATATATATATATATATATATATATATATATATATATATATATATATATATATATATATATATATATATATATATATATATATATATATATATATATATATATATTATATATATATATATTTATGTACACATCTTCAGAAGAAATGATTTACAGGTCAAGTATTGGACATATATATAAGCAGGAGAGAGAAGTGAAGTGAGTTGAGGTACAAAGGAAAGTGAATGGGAATTAAGTGGATACATATTAGAGCTACATAAGAACTCCAGAAGGCCTGTTGTCCCATACGAGGCAGCTCCTATTTATACCCACCAATAGGCCCACACAGGGATAATAATAGCATAAGATTGTAAATATTTACAATGAATTAGTGAGACAAATGTGTATCAATGATCCTACTCAAATCGCCCTTTAATTGATCTATCAGAAATAGATCTAAGTTATTTAAACAACTGCTAATGTTCAAATTACATTCTTTTGTAATCTGTATTAAAGCAGATTCACTTATGTTCCTGTTATAAGTATTTTTACAATTCGTTATTGAAGAAGCCATCACCCAATCATTTTGGTGAGCATTTTCTGACAAATGATCCTTGAGCACTTTTCTTCTCACTCCCGCTCCGTTTCCGTCCTCACCAATGGGTCTAAGTCTGCGGACAGTGTTGGGTACTCTGTTGTTTTTCCTAAACACACTTATATGTGTCGCTTACCTCCGGAGACTAGCATCTTCACAGCAGAACTTTGTGCTGTTCTCTAAGCTCTCCGTCTCCTGCTTTCTGACTGTCAATTTTTCTTTGTAGTTGTTGCTGACTCTCGTAGTGCTCTCGTGGCTCTCGGGTCCTTTAATCCGGTTCATCCAGTGGTTGTCGAGATCCAGCATTGGCTGTTTCTCATACACAGTAAATTTAAGTCGGTTGAGTTTTGTTGGGTTCCCAGCCATATTGGTGTCTCTTTAAATGAGCATATGGATGCTGCCGCCAGGGAAGCTGTCCGCTCTTGTCCCGTCTCGCGTAAAAGTATTCCTTATTCCGACTTTTACCCAGTTATCCATTCCTCCATCCTTAGCCGTTGGCAGGCTTGTTGGTCGTCTGTTATTGGTAACAAACTGCGTACTCTTAAGATTTGTGTGTCCTCGTGGCCGTCCTCCTACCACCGTAACCGGCGGTGGGAAACAGCTCTGGCAAGGTTGCATATTGGCCATACTCATTTAACTCACGGTCACTTGATGGAGCGCCGCCCTGCTCCTTATTGTCCAAATTGCATTGTTCCTCTTACGGGCGTACATATCCTTGTTGAATGTCCTCACTTCCGGGACGAGCGTGTGTCTTGTTTTCCGACCGTCCCCCGCGGTCGCTTGTCCCTCGATAGTATTCTTGGTGACTCAGATACTTTTGATATCGTTCGCCTTATGCGTTTTTGTTCTCGTATTGGCATCCTTGGTGATATTTAGCGCCCTCTGATTATCCCGCACATTTGATGGTGCTACATTGCCTTCCCGGTTTGGTGCCTTCTTTTGATAATTACTTACTACTTATTTTTTGATAAATGAACAAATAAAGCATTATATAATTGGCCATGTCTTACAGAGTATTTATGTTGCGAAATTCTACATTTCAAATCTTTAGACGTTTGCCCAACATAGAACCTATTACAGTCTTTACAAGGTATTTTATAAATGACACAATTATCACTACGAGGGCTGTTTCTAACTAATAATTTAATAACAGTATTTTCGTAGCTAAACAATACATGTATATCAAAAAGTTTCAAGGCCTTGACCATATTTTCAAACCCAGAGAAATATGGCAAACATAACACATTCTTTTGGCGAATTTTTTCAATGCATATATTATTATAATATGTACGACGTGCTTTGCTACGGCAAACTTAAAAAAAAAACTCAGTGGGTAATAAAGCTTGAGACCTATAGAATCAATATTCTTAAACTCTTCATCTAAGAATTCTGGACTCACAACCCGAAAAGCTCTTAGATACATTGAAGAAAAAATAGATTTTTTTTTTCACATTGTATCTATGCCCTGAAAAATAATGAACATAAGATAAATTATTCGTAGATTTTCTGTAGACACTAAACTTTAGTGAAAAATCTTCCCTATGAATAAGTACATCTAGGAATGGCAAACATTTATCAATTTCAGTCTCCATAGTAAATTTTATAGAGGTGACTTTGTCATTAAGTTTGGCTATAAATTCGTCTGTGTTTACATCTGTAGACCATGTACACAAAATATCATCAACATATCTAAACCATAGAATGATTCCAGGGGTGCACAACCTAACAAGATTGACAACAATATCAGCAGAAAGAGGTAAAACAAGATTCATTAGTTCATGAGCAAGATAATCAAGAATATCGTCAACCTGTACCTTTGTAAATAAGGAACAAACATCAAAACTGATTAACTTTACATCAGGAGTGACAGGAACACTATTCAATTTGTTAACTAATTCAAGAGAATTAGTTAAATGAGAAGAGGAAATGGTTCCTAACAATGGGGACAAGATTTTGGTAAGCCAAAATCATTTTGGCTTACCAAAATTAATCCTCTTCTCATTTGACCAATTCTCTCGGACTCACTCCCTTTCCTGTCTTGATCTTTCTCTTCGTTTGTCTTCCCTTTACTTAGATTTCGAGTGGCGGGTTCTTGATGACCTCCATGGCAGTGACCATTTTCCCATCCTTGTTTCCTTTTTCTCTTTTCACCCTCCCCTCTCCTTCCGTAGATGGTGGTTTGCCGAGACTGACAGGCCCCTCTTTACCGTCGGTGCTACTAACTCCGACCTTCCCATTCTGCCTCTCCCTCGCGCCTTCCTCCTGTTTTATGACACCGTCTCCGACGCTGCCCTCCGCTCTATTCCCCGCTCTTCCTTTAGGGGAATGCGGAAGTGCGTTCCCTGGTGGAATGTGGACTGTGCTCGGGCTCTCCACTATAAGCGTGCAGCCTGGAAGAGACATCGCCGTCGGCAGACGCCTGAATCTTTTCTTTTGTTTCGGAAGGCAAGGGCAGTGGCCCGTAGGACCATCCGTATGGCTAAACGTGCATGTTGGAAGTCTTATGTTTCCACCCTCACGTCCGATACTCCTCTGCCACAGACCTGGAAGCATATCCGCAAGATTGCAGGTAAATTCGTTCCAGATGTCTCCCCGGTACTTCACCTCGGTGGTACTCTTATGGCGGACCCGTTGCAAGTCGCGACCGAATTGGGTTCCCACTTTTCGTCTCTTAGCTCTGGTTCTCATCTCCCCCATTCCTTCCTTCTTCATGAGCCTCTTCTTGAATCTCATACCTTGGATTTCTTTACCTATCTCTGCCTTCCCAATAACGATCCCTTCTCTATCTCTGAGCTCCAGTCTGCCCTGGCCCTCTGCGATTCTACGGGGGCGGGCTCCGATGGCATTCATTATGAGATGCTTCGCCATCTCCCTCCATGCTCGTCTTAGTATGACTGAGTCGCCGTCAGTCCCTGAGGACTGGCTCGACGCTGTTGTCCTCTCTGTTCGGAAACCAGGGTCTCTCGGGTCTTCCCCCAAGGACTTCCGCCCGATTGCCCTCACGAGTTGTGTCTGCAAGCTCTTTGAATGTATGGTTAACGTTCGTCTGATGTGGTTCTTAGAGCACTATCACCTCCTTTCCCCTTCTCAATTTGGTTTTCGCAAATGCCGCAGCACAACAGGTGTCCTGGTGAACTTGAAGGTTTATATTCATACTGCTTTTGCTGCGAAGACCTACGTTGTTGCCGTTCTTTTTGACCTGGAAAAGGCTTACGACACGACTTGGCAGTATCATATACTGTCCCAAATTCATTCTTTTGGTCTTCATGGGAATCTCCCTCTCTTCCTCCAAAGTTTCCTCTCTCGTCGTTCCTTTCGAGTGAGGCTCAGTACCGCTCACTCTGCCCCTTTTTGTAAATATGAGGGTGTGCCCCAAGGTAGTGTTCTAAGCACTACTCTTTTTCTTGTTGCCCCTCAATGGTCTTCTTTCCTCCCTTCAGGCGTCTTCTCCGCTCTCTATGTAGACGATCTTACCCTTTGCTGCCAGGGTGATGATTCGCCTCTCCTTGAACGGCGGCTTCAACTTACGATTGATGCCTTGTTGTCTTGGGCCACCGATCATGGCTTCCAGTTTTCTGCATCTAAGACTTGTGCTATGACTTTCACTCGGAAGCATGTCATTCTTCGTCCCTCTTTGTCTCTTTATGGACATCCCCTTGTGTACAAGGATTCCACTAAGCTTCTGGGGTTAATCTTTGACACTCAGCCTTGGTCAAAGGACGGGGAGCCGGTCAGCCGAGCCGACTGCATGCTGGACTTGTGATCCTGTGGTCCCAGGTTTGATCCCGCGCGCCGGTGAGAAACAATGGGCAGAGTTTCTTTCACCCTATGCCCCTGTTACCTAGCCGTAAAATAGGTACCTGGGTGTTAGTCAACTGTCACCTCCTGGGGGTGGAGGCCTGGTCGAGGACCGGGCGGCGGGGACACTAAAGCCTCGAAATCATCTCAACATAACCTCAAGAAGATGTTACAGCCCCACCTGTGGCTGTGGCTCTTTCAGTTCGAATTTCTAATATTCTTGTCGGTCCCTTAATGTGTTGGCATAGAAAGTTTCTTGTTGCCATGTCCAGCAGCTTAGCTCTCCATGTGTCTGGTCCTCCATGTGGGTCTTCGTTCTTCCAATCCTGCCCCTGTGTGTGTGTGTCCGTATGTGTGTGTCCGTATTTGTGAGTGCGTGTGTGTGTGTGTGTGTGTGCGCGTGAGTTATTCATATTTATACAGCTGTATGTGTGCAGTAGGTCAGCTCTGTGGTATTGGTGATGACAGAGGTGTAGAAGTGTGTATTGAGTGAACTGGGTTATGATCTGACTCCTCCCATTCCTCTTAACACTGACCATCCTCACACTTCCTGCCCCCTCGCCTCACACTTCCTGCCCCCTCTCCTCACACTTCCTGCCCCTCTCCTCACACTTCCTACCCCTCGCCTCACACTTCCTGCCCCCTCTCCTCACACTTCCTGCCCCTCTCCTCACACTTCCTGCCCCTCTCCTCACACTTCCTGCCCCCTCGCCTCACACTTCCTGCCCCCTCTCTTCACACTTCCTGCCCTCTCCTCACACTTCTTGCCCCTCGCCTCACACTTCCTGCCCCCTCTCCTCACACTTCCTGCCCCCCCCTCTCCTCACACTTCCTGCCCACTCTCCTCACACTTCCTGCCCACTCTCCTCACACTTCCTGCCCCCTCTCCTCACACTTCCTGCCCCTCTCCTCACACTTCCTGCCCCCTCGCCTCACACTTCCTGCCCCCTCTCCTCACACTTCCTGCCCCTCTCCTCACACTTCCTGCCCCTCGCCTCACACTTCCTGCCCCCTCTCCTCACACTTCCTGCCCCCCCCTCTCCTCACACTTCCTGCCCACTCTCCTCACACTTCCTGCCCCTCTCCTCAAACTTCCTCACCCCCTCTCCTCACACTTCCTGCCCCTCTCCTCACACTTCCTGCCCACTCTCCTCACACTTCCTGCCCCTCTCCTCACACTTCCTGCCCCTCTCCTCACACTCCTTCCTGCCCCTCGCCTCACACTTCCTGCCCACTCTCCTCACACTTCCTGCCCCCCCCCCCCCCCCTCCTCACACTTCCTGCCCCTCTCCTCACACTTCCTGCCCACTCTCCTCACACTTCCTGCCCCCTCTCCTCACACTTCCTGCCCCTCTCCTCACACTTCCTGCCCACTCTCCTCACACTTCCTGCCCCCTCTCCTCACACTTCCTGCCCCTCTCCTCACATTTCCGGCCCCCTCGCCTCACACTTCCTGCCCCTCTCCTCACACTTCCTGCCCCTCTCCTCACACTTCCTGCCCCCTCGCCTCACACTTCCTGCCCCTCTCCTCACACTTCCTGCCCACTCTCCTCACACTTCCTGCCCTCTCTCCTCACACTTCCTGCCCCTCTCCTCACACTTCCTGCCCCTCTCCTCACATTTACCCAGGTGTATGTGGTCCTGGTGGGTGTGACCCGGGTGGGTGTGACCCAGGTGGGTGTGACCCTAGTGGGTGTGACCCTAGTGGGTGTGACCCGGGTGGGTGTGACCCGGGTGGGTGTGACCCAGGTGGGTTTGACCCGGGTGGGTGCGACCCGGGTGGGTGTGACCCGGGTGGGTGTGACCCTGGTGGGTGTGACCCAGGTGGGTGTGACCCTAGTGGGTGTGACCCGGGTGGGTGTGACCCAGGTGGGTGTGACCCTAGTGGGTGTGACCCGGGTGGGTGTGACCCTAGTGGGTGTGACCCGGGTGGGTGTGACCCGGGTGGGTGTGACCCGGGTGGGTGTGACCCAGGTGGGTGTGACCCAGGTGGGTGTGACCCGGGTGGGTGTGACCCGGGTGGGTGTGACCCTGGTGGGTGTGACCCTAGTGGGTGTGACCCGGGTGGGTGTGACCCGGGTGGGTGTGACCCAGGTGGGTGTGACCCTGGTGGGTGTGACCCGGGTGGGTGTGACCCGGGTGGGTGTGACCCGGGTGGGTGTGAGCCTGGTGGGTGTGACCCGGGTGGGTGTGACCCGGGTGGGTGTGACCCGGGTGGGTGTGACCCTGGTGAGTGTGACCCAGGTGGGTGTGACCCGGGTGGGTGTGACCCAGGTGGGTGTGACCCGGGTGGGTGTGACCCGGGTGGGTGTGACCCTGGTGGGTGTGACCCTGGTGGGTGTGACCCGGGTGGGTGTGACCCGGGTGCGTGTGACCCGGGTGGGTGTGACCCTGGTGGGTGTGACCCGGGTGGGTGTGACCCGGGTGGGTGTGACCCGGGTGGGTGTGACCCAGGTGGGTGTGACCCTGGTGGGTGTGACCCAGGTGGGTGTGACCCGGGTGGGTGTGACCCAGGTGGGTGTGACCCGGGTGGGTGTGACCCTGGTGGGTGTGGCCCTAGTAGGTGGGACCCGGGTGGGTGTGACCCGGGTGGGTGTGACCCTAGTGGGTGTGACCCAGGTGGGTGTGACCCAGGTGGGTGTGACCCGGGTGGGTGTGACCCGGGTGGGTGTGACCCTGGTGGGTGTGACCCAGGTGGGTGTGACCCTAGTGGGTGTGACCCGGGTGGGTGTGACTCTGGTGGGTGTGACCATGGTGGGTGTGACCCGGGTGGGTGTGACCCGGGTGGGTGTGACCCTGGTGGGTGTGACCCGGGTGGGTGTGACCCTGGTGGGTGTGACCCGGGTGGGTGTGACCCTAGTGGGTGTGACCCTGGTGGGTGTGACCCTGGTGGGTGTGACCCTGGTGGGTGTGACCCAGGTGGGTGTGACCCGGGTGGGTGTGACCCTGGTGGGTGTGACCCGGGTGGGTGTGACCCAGGTGGGTGTGACCCTGTTGGGTGTGACCCAGGTGGGTGTGACCCGGGTGGGTGTGACCCAGGTGGGTGTGACCCTAGTGGGTGTGACCCGGGTGGGTGTGACCCTGGTGGGTGTGACCCAGGTGGGTGTGACCCGGGTGGGTGTGACCCAGGTGGGTGTGACCCTAGTGGGTGTGACCCGGGTGGGTGTGACCCTGGTGGGTGTGACCCAGGTGGGTGTGACCCGGGTGGGTGTGACCCTGGTGGGTGTGACCCTGGTGGGTGTGACCCAGGTGGGTGTGACCCGGGTGGGTGTGACCCTGGTGGGTGTGACCCGGGTGGGTGTGACCCGGGTGGGTGTGACCCAGGCGGGTGTGACCCAGGTGGGTGTGACCCTAGTGCGTGTGACCCGGGTGGGTGTGACCCGGGTGGGTGCAGATCTGCCCCGAGCACCACAACCTCTCCAATGGATCACCAATCCAGTTGCTGATCTTTTCCTAGATGAAATTGCTCTTTCTCTGTCTCTCGCTCTCTCTCTCTCTCTCTCTCTCTCTCTCTCTCTCTCTCTCTCTCTCTCTCTCTCTCTCTCTCTCTCTCTCTCTCTCTCTCTCTCTCTCTCTCTCTCTCTCTCTCTCTCTCTCTCTCTCTCTCTCTCTCTCTCTCTCTCTCTCTTTCTCTCTCCCTCACTCTCTCAGGAGAGGCAGGGTGAGAGAAGAGGTCCCGCGCCGCTTGGGTCGTGGGATATATAGCCTTGTCGCGGTCGGTAGTAAATTGTCAATTCACAACAGAGTCGCCCGTTCATTGTGCCTCCATTCCTGCCCCCCACCCCCCCTTCTTCTGTGTTTCCGCCTTACCTCCCTCCCTCTCTGACGGCAGAGTGTTGGACACACAACACAGCAGAGAGTGTAGGACACACAGCACAGCAGAGTGTAGGACACACAACACAGCAGAGTGTTGGACACACAACACAGCACCGTGTAGGACACACAGCACAGCAGAGTGTAGGACACACAACACAGCAGAGTGTTGGACACACAACACAGCACCGTGTAGGACACACAACACAGCAGCGTGTAGGACACACAACACAGCTCCGTGTAGGACACACAACACAGCAGCGTGTAGGACACACAATACAGCAGAGTGTAGGACACACAACACAGCAGAGTGTAGGACACACAACACAGCAGAGAGTGTACGACACACAACACAGCAGAGAGTGTAGGACATACAACACAGCAGAGTGTTGGACACACAGCACAGCAGAGTGTGTAGGACACACAACACAGCAGAGTGTAGGACACACAACACAGCAGAGTGTAGGACACACAACTCAGCAGAGTGTGTAAGACACACAACACAGCAGAGTGTAAGACACACAACACAGCAGAGTGTAGGACACACAACTCAGCAGAGTGTGTAGGACACACAACACAGCAGAGTGTAAGACACACAACACAGCAGAGTGTGTAAGACACAACACAGCAGAGTGTTGAACACACAACACAGCAGAGAGTGTAGGACACACAACTCAGCAGAGAGTGTAAGACACACAACACAGCAGAGTGTAAGACACACAACACAGCAGAGTGTTGGACACACAACACAGCAGAGTGTTGGACACACAACACAGCAGAGAGTGTACGACACACAACACAGCAGAGAGTGTAAGACACACAACACAGCAGAGAGTGTAGGACACACAACTCAGCAGAGTGTGTAGGACACACAACACAGCAGAGTGTAAGACACACAACACAGCAGAGTGTAGGACACACAACTCAGCAGAGTGTTGAACACACAACACAGCAGAGTGTAAGACACAACACAGCAGAGTGTTGAACACACAACACAGCAGAGAGTGTAGGACACACAACTCAGCAGAGAGTGTAAGACACACAACACAGCAGAGTGTAGGACACACAACACAGCAGAGTGTTGAACACACAACACAGCAGAGAGTGTAGGACACACAACACAGCAGAGAGTGTAGGACACACAACTCAACAGAGAGTGTAGGACACACAACACAGCAGAGAGTGTAAGACACAACACAACAGAGAGTGTAGGACACACAATACAGCAGAGTGTACGACACACAACACAACAGAGAGTGTAAGACACACAACACAGCAGAGAGTGTAGGACACACAACACAGCAGAGAGTGTAGGACACACAACTCAACAGAGAGTGTAGGACACACAACACAGCAGAGAGTGTAGGACACACAACTCAACAGAGAGTGTAGGACACACAACACAGCAGAGAGTGTAAGACACAACACAACAGAGAGTGTAGGACACACAACACAGCAGAGAGTGTAGGACACACAACACTGCAGAGTGTAGGACACACAACACAGCAGAGAGTGTAAGACACACAACACTGCAGAGTGTAGGACACACAACACAGCAGAGAGTGTAGGACACACAACACAGCAGAGTGTAAGACACAACACAACAGAGAGTGTAGGACACACAACACAGCAGAGAGTGTAGGACACACAACACAGCAGAGAGTGTAGGACACACAACACAGCAGAGAGTGTAAGACACAACACAACAGAGAGTGTAGGACACACAACACAGCAGAGAGTGTAGGACACACAACACTGCAGAGTGTAGGACACACAACACAGCAGAGAGTGTAAGACACAACACAACAGAGAGTGTAGGACACACAACACAGCAGAGTGTTGAACACACAACACAGCAGAGAGTGTAGGACACACAACACAGCAGAGAGTGTAAGACACAACACAACAGAGAGTGTAGGACACAACACAGCAGAGAGTGTAGGACACACAACACAGCAGAGTGTAGGACACACAACACAGCAGAGAGTGTAGGACACACAACACTGCAGAGTGTAGGACACACAACACAGCAGAGAGTGTAAGACACAACACAACAGAGAGTGTAGGACACACAACACAGCAGAGTGTTGAACACACAACACAGCAGAGAGTGTAAGACACAACACAGCAGAGAGTGTAGGACACACAACACTGCAGAGTTTAGGACACACAACACAGCAGAGAGTGTAGGACACACAACACAGCAGAGAGTGTAGGACACACAACACAGCAGAGTGTGAAGGACACACAACACAGCAGAGAGTGTAGGACACACAACACTGCAGAGTGTAGGACACACAACACAGCAGAGAGTGTAGGACACACAACACAGCAGAGAGTGTAGGACACACAACACAGCAGAGAGTGTAGGACACACAACACAGCAGAGAGTGTAAGACACAACACAACAGAGAGTGTAGGACACACAACACAGCAGAGAGTGTAAGACACACAACACTGCAGAGAGTGTAGGACACACAACACAGCAGAGAGTGTAGGACACACAACACAGCAGAGAGTGTAGGACACACAACTCAGCAGAGAGTGTAGGACACACAACACAGTAGAGAGTGTAGGACACATAACACAGCAGAGAGTGTAGGACACACAACACAGCAGAGAGTGTACGACACACAACACAGCAGAGAGTGTAGGACACACAACACAGCAGAGAGTGTAGGACACACAACACAGCAGAGAGTGTAGGACACACAACACAGCAGAGTGTGAAGGACACACAACACAGCAGAGAGTGTAGGACACACAACACTGCAGAGTGTAGGACACACAACACAGCAGAGAGTGTAGGACACACAACACAGCAGAGAGTGTAGGACACACAACACAGCAGAGAGTGTAGGACACACAACACAGCAGAGAGTGTAAGACACAACACAACAGAGAGTGTAGGACACACAACACAGCAGAGAGTGTAAGACACACAACACTGCAGAGAGTGTAGGACACACAACACAGCAGAGAGTGTAGGACACACAACACAGCAGAGAGTGTAGGACACACAACTCAGCAGAGAGTGTAGGACACACAACACAGCAGAGTGTTGAACACACAACACAGCAGTGTGTAGGACACACAACACAGCAGAGAGTGTAAGACACAACACAACAGAGAGTGTAGGACACACAACACAGCAGAGAGTGTAGGACACACAACACTGCAGAGTGTAGGACACACAACACAGCAGAGAGTGTAGGACACACAACACAGCAGAGAGTGTAATACACAACACAGCAGAGAGTGTAGGACACACAACACTGCAGAGTGTAGGACACACAACACAGCAGAGAGTGTAAGACACAACACAACAGAGAGTGTAGGACACACAACACAGCAGAGAGTGTAAGACACAACACAGCAGAGAGTGTAGGACACACAACACTGCAGAGTGTAGGACACACAACACTGCAGAGAGTGTAAGACACAACACAGCAGAGAGTGTAGGACACACAACACAGCAGAGTGTAGGACACACAACACAGCGTGATTTTTATACTTACAGTATGATAGGTTACGCTTTGCACGCTCACTCACACACAACCCGAGTTACTAAAGTTCAACCCGAGTAAATGTAAGGCCATGAAACTAGGCGGAGGAAACAGGAGGCCGGACACAGGATACAGAATGGGATATGAAGTCCTTCATGAAACGGACAGAGAGAAAGATCTGGGAGTTGATATCACACCAAACCTGTCTCCTGAAGCACATATCAAGAGAATAACATCTGCGGCGTATGCGAGGCTGGCTAACATCAGAACAGCCTTCAGGAACCTGTGTAAGGAATCATTCAGAACCTTGTATACCACATATGTAAGACCAATCCTGGAGTATGCGGCCCCAGCATGGAGCCCGTACTATGTCAGCACAAGCCGAAGCTGGAAAAAGTTCTGAGGTCCACTTCCACTTCTACTAGGCTAGTCCCAGAACTAAGAGGTCTGAGTTAGGAGGAAAGGCTGCGTGAAATGCACCTCACGACACTGGAAGACAGAAGAGTAAGGGGAGACATGATCACTACTTTCAAAATTCTCAGAGGAATTGACAGGATAGATAAGGATAAACTTTTTAACACTGGTGGTCCGCGAACAAGGGGACACAGGTGGAGACTGAGTACCCAAATGAGCCACAGGGACGTTAGAAAGAACTTTTTCAGTGTCAGAGTAGTTAACAGATGGAATGCATTAGGTAGTGATGTGGTGGAGGCTGACTCCATACACAGTTTCAAGTGTAGGTATGATAAAGCCCAGTAGGCTCAGGAACCTGTACGCCAGTTGATTGACAGTTGAGAGGCGGGACCAAGGAGCCAGAGCTCAACCCCCGCAAGCACAAATAGGTGAGTACAGGTGAGTACACACACACACATACACACACACACACACACACACACACACACACACACACACACACACACACACACACACACACACACACACACACACACACACACACACACACACACACACACACACACACACACACACACACACACAGTAAAGTTATGGAAATGGGACTAGGAGATAGGAGACCAAAGGGACAGTACACAATGAAGGGGAACAGCCTACCTGTAACGACGCGTGAAAGAGATGAGTCACAGAGATGTTAGGAAGTTTTCTTTTAG